GGACCTTCCGACAGTAAAAGTCAGAATGTGTGGAATGCAAAGTATCTGTTGACCCTGACGGCATCCCTGGTCGGCTGCTTCCAATACTTCGACAGTGAGGACAATAACACCTGGAGGTCGGTCTATGGTCATGAACCATAGTTTCTTAGAAAGGTTTGGTTCGTTGTCACCTCGTTCCTATCCTCTATCCTCGCCCATTCAAATACCTGTGCGAGGTTACGGGCAATACATGCCTGGTGAAACGCTACGGAGTGGATATACCAGCGGAAAAGTTACGGAGAACAGATATATAAACCTTGTGTTTGGTCAAGATCTGCACCCAGAACCGCGCCGCCCGGCAATTCCCTCGCTTTCTGAACAGTCCATATGCCAACTATGCAAACACAAGTCACGCCTAAAACACCAGAAAGAATAATAAAGCGCCGCAAGACCATTTCACCCAGCAAGCAGATCCCAACAGCGGATGAGCAGAGCAAATCAGCAGCACCCCCTTCATTAGGGCCCCCTTTAGTTACGAGAATTCAGAGAATATTGAAAATAGTCTTTTTATTCTTTGCGTACGCCTACTTCTATTTTTAGAAGTGACTAATCTGACTATCCAGTTTTATAGGGAAAAGACGCTCGACCTCGTGGTCTTCGTACATTTCGTAATCCTAGTGTTTGCGCTCTTGGCAGCAAGAGACTCCAAACTCATGGTCGGGCTCATCCTCTTTCTCTCACTCACGCATGTTATGGTCAGCCACGCACGGCAAAAGATTGAAGATGCTCGAGAACCAGGGTCGGTGCCGGTACCCGCATCCGTACCTGTATCCGTACCGGTTGAAGATCCACTTCCAGTTGAACCTGTCGTGTCTTCACCTCTGCTACCACTCTTGCATATATCCTTGCCATTGCCATTGCCATCATCTTCGTCATCGTCGCCGTCATCATCTCCTTCACCGACACCTATTGCCTTGCCCCTATCGTCGCCACTATCCACGCCTTCCCACACTTCGATCTCCCCTTCACCTTCATCCAAGGAGAAGAAAGCGAAAACGGCCTACCGATTACTCCAAGAATCGATAGACGATGACGAAGATGATGGCAATGGCAATGGCAAGGATATATGCAAGAGTGGTAGCAGAGGTGAAG